TGCATAAATATTATGAATAATAATTAAAATAACAAAAATAATATATAAAAAATATTTTAAAAAAATTTAAAAAAACTTTTTTTTCCCTGAGTTGGATCGGTCAACTTGCGGTTTTGTTCGACGATTTGGTTTGGCAGTTCGGTCGCGTTCAACGATTCGATGGCATTCAGCGGTTCAATTTCGGTTCAAATTGGGTTCAGTGGATTGATTTCGGCTCAGTCAGACCGATCAGAGGTTGATGGAGAAGTGGGTCGCGGGTCGGATGCGCGGACCTTAGGTCGGGTTACGGGTTGACGCGCGATCCTGGGTGCTTAAAACGATGTTGTTTTGGACGTTTATTGAAACGACATTGTTTTGGCTATTGACAGCTTATATAAAAGCTCAAAATTTTTTTTTTGATCATTTTTTCCTCCTATCCCAAAAAAAAGCCCTCTCTCTCTTTTCTTTTTTTTCAGGCCAACCTGGGGCCGGTGGCTGTCCGTCATGACGATCGCCGTAGTCCTCGTCGATGGCGAGCTCCAATCGCCGTCGCAGGTGTTGAAAGATTCTAAAATTTTTTAAAATGTTCCCATCAACATCCTAAACACATATCCAACCTCCTTTTCACAAAAAAATAGTCCCAAAATCTCCAGATTTGCTCTTGAAGTTTCGACAACCTCTTTTTTATTCTCCTCTTTTTTTATTTTTTTTGAAACTGACTTTGTTTTTTTTTTTTTTGTGCAAGAACTCTCGACGCTAGGTTCCCCGATCCAGAGGACTGAGTTTTTTTTGAGTTTTTTTTTTACAGAAAACTCCCTTTTTTTTATTTCTCATTTTTCATTCGATCAAGAGCTTTATTTATAAAACTCCGCCTGTCCTGAAGTGGCACAAGACTAATTGGGTTAAGCAGAGCCCTATGCCTTTTTATATTTTTTGGCAACATGACAGTGGGTTAGCAGAAAGTTATCAGATAAGTTTGATGGGTAAAGATGGTAGTAGGTATGGTGCAGTGTACCAGGAAGGCACCATGCCATCCTTCATTTTTTTTTTTCTATATTTTTTTTTGGTATCTTGTATTTTGATTTTTTTGTATTTTGTATTTAATAATATATTATTAATATTTTTTTTGTCGAACAAATTTGATGTCCACAGTATTTATAAATAAATTTTCAATACCATAAAAAATTTTTTTTCACTAATAAATTAAAAATAAAGTGATAAAAATAAGGAAAAGAAAATTTTATCTGAGTATGAAATTCTAAAAGTATTTCAAGTAGTGATATTTTAATGAAATCTCTAGGTAAATTTTTTTTAAAAAATATTACTAATGCATTAGAATATTTATAAAAAATCTTTAATATGATAAATTTTTTTTAAATAATAAAAAATAATAATTCAATAAAGATATCAATAAATTTTTTTTAAAAATAATAAAATATGTGCATCAATGTATTATCATTTGCATTATATACACAACATAGTTTTTTATGAAAAGTAAATTTGAGTATTTGAAGATGAGATTATAAAGTATTTTGAGAAGTGATGCCTAAAAAATTTTTAAGTGAAAAAGAGTTCTTCTAATATTATCAATGTATTAAAACATTTTAAGAATTATTTCAATAAAAGAATTTTAATTTATTTTTCTGAAATAAAATTTAAACAATAAATACGGAATAAAAAAAAAACTAAAGCTGCAATAAACAAAAAAAATCAAAGAAATTACTTTTTAAACATCGAAATTAAGATTATTTTTGTCAGAATTAATGAATAATACATAATTAATTTGTATCGTTTTAAACGAACACTATGAAGATGTTAATTTTTTTATATAATTAACTTTCGAATCCAAACTATATTACTTACTTTAAAATTATTTTTTAATAAATTTTAATCAATTTTAAAAATTTATTAAAAAATAATTTTTAATAAATAATCAATTATATCTAATAAAAAAATTAATAATAATTTCATTTTATTTTTTTTATTTTCAAATTTATCGAACGATCCAAGACCGTTACTATAGTTGCCTCGGCAAAATAAATGAACATAGTATGATCACAGACTTGGCAATGCTTTTAGGTCTGTCCAACTCCATTTTCTAACTGAGGTAGTCTCATCACAACTTGTACAGATAACAAGGAGGGCAATCTAGCTAGTCTAACATTTTTTGTCTGCCGATCATTTCCTTGCGCAACACGTGTTTTTTTAAAAAGTTATATATTTTGCTAAAAATATTTGTGTCATTTCATGAATAAATAGTACAATTAAATAAAAAAAAAACTAAAGAAAGATAAAGATACTTATGATATTAACGTGAAAAAAAAAAAAAACAAGAAAAGAAAGAGAATAAAGGAGAAAAAAAAAAGACTTGTTCCTGAATTGTTGAGGACAATTAAGGGTTTTAATGGCTTTGACTAAATGATAGAAAGCTGGAAGCTTCAAGAGGGGTGAAAATTTGGGAAAAAAAAAAACTGAGAGTGAAGAGAGGAAAATAGGGATAGATGCAGATTTTTTGTCTTAGTTGAAATAAAAGCATGAAATTTTTTATTAGAGGTAATGAAAATAAATTGAATATGTTGTTCAACAAATTTTTATCTCTTTTTTTAAAAATCTTTTTTATTAAAAGTTTAGGTGATTGTTTATCAAATTTATTATGATTTTATAAAATTTTGAATTTAAAAGTTTTTGTTTTATTTTATTTTATTTCATCAAAATTTGAAGTGTAAAAGTAAATGAATTAAATGAAGGTAAGTTCAATGAGTGAAAAAGAAAAAAGAGACAAAAAATTGTGAAAAAAAAAAGAATAGAGTCAATGTCGGCTTTTCAAAAAAGGGAAAAAAAGTGCAGATAAATCAAAAAAAGGAAAATATGAAAAAAATAAAATTTTGGTGAATTTAAATTTTGATAATTTTTGTTTTCTATTGTGATTTTTTGCATGTTTTAAAATAGAATTGACACATAACTTTAGGTATATTTTATATGTCTATCTTACTCTTGAACGAATTATTTTATAAATTGATAAAAATTATAATATTATTTTTTAATAATTTAAAGATTTTTTATTTAAATATTTTTAATTACATATATATTTTAATGCATTTAAACACTTTTAAAACTTACCGTTATTATATATCATTATAATAGTTTAAAAAGGTTAACTGATGCGAAGCGAGGTTGGATGACTAGGGACCTTATAATTTTGTGTCCAAGCTTTTGCCTGAATGACACCTGTTCAACAAGAATTGAAAGAAAAATTTTCATTTGCTGAGAATAAAGAAGGCAAAAAAACTTGTAATCGACGGTTCTGATCCTATCCGATATTTTAAGGTTGATTTTTTTTTTTTAAATGGGGTATCAGGTCGAATTTGATTGGGTGATATGAAAAAAAAATCAAAATCAGATTTTAAGTAAATATGATTCTACCGATCCGATATATATATATATAAATAATTTTTTAAATAATTTATTTAATTTTATAATTATTTTTATATATATTTAATTTTATATTTATATTAAAAATAATATTTTATTAATTTTTAATCGAATCGAATCGGATGTAATTTTATATAATATCGAGTTAAATCGAATTTGATTATCAAAATAATAAAAAATTATCAAATTAAATCGAATTCAAATTTTATATAATTAAAATTAAATCAAATTTGAGACGAATAAAAATTTGTTTCAACTCGATCTATTGTCATTTTAACTGAGAATATATGACAAAAAAGAGGGGGGAAGGATCTGGAAGCTGAAAGAGGTGTGGGAAAGGAATATAGTTCTGGCATCTAAAAAAGAGATAAAGTTAAAATAAAAAAAAAACAATAGGATAAAGTTGAAAAAGAAAAGGGCAAAATAAGCGATCGAAGGACAATGAGAGAAGGTTTTACTTTTTCTTAATATAATTTTATAAATAAAAAAATACTGCTTCCAAACAAAAATTTTTATTCGTAGCAAAAAAATAATTAAAATAGACAAATTATACATTTTTTTCTTCCTTAAATTCGAATTTCTTGAGAACTAAAACTGTAAAACAATAGTTTCATTCTTAGCTTAGAAAATATCGCTACAAAGACCAAAGAATCTTGAACTCTTGCAAGCTTATAATATATATATATATATATATATATATATTATTTTAAAAATAAATTTAATAATTTATATTATATAAAATATTAATAATTCATATATTTATATATTTATATTATATTTTATACAAAATTATAAATAATAGTTTATATCAATATAAAAATATAATATATATTTTTAATTTTATTAATTTTATATTTTTATTTATATATTTTATATCCTATCATTAAATTATATTTTAAATTGTAAAATCTAAATAATTAAAAAAATTAAAATAAATCATAAATATGCCGATAACTATAATTTGATTGATTTCAATGATATAATCGATTGAGTTTAAATTAATATAAAATTAAATTTGAATTCGATTTAAAATTTGAAACTTAAAACTTAGTTCGAACTTAATCGAATTTTATTTTTTTATTTTAAGTTCGATTTGAAATAAAAATCGAACTATTCAACATTATTTGATTAAGCTCGATGAACATGCAAAAATAAACTTGATTTTTATATTCAATAAAATTTTGATTGTTTATACTTGAACTCCAGTTTGAAATGGTTTATTAATTACAATAATTAAAATATAAAAATTTGATTAAATTCTCGAATCGGATATAAAAATATTCGAACTGGATTCGATCGATAAGTTAAATTATTTGAGCTCAAACTCAACTTGATAATAATCAAATCGAATTTAAATTTTATTCGAATTTAATTCGAATAATTTATGAATATTAATGTATCATTTCCATTAAGACTGCTACATGTTTCACCGTAAAAAATGTCATCTTCACGGCTTCCGGTGATCAATTCTCGAAGTAAACCGACGGCTGAATTTATAGGGAATTGGAGGTACGCTTGCTAAAACCCTTTTGAAAATTGCTTTCACCATTGCATTTGTTCCTGTTATGATTGGGTTTCCTTTAAAAAAAATGGAGATTTGCATTCCCATTGTGGCCAAAACTTCCGAGCTTGCAGTTGTTCCAATCAAAAACCAAATCAGTTACATATTCAAGTATGAGGGCAAGCTTGAAAATTTAAAGAACGGAGTAGAGAAGCTGAAGGATGAAAGGAAAAGGGTGCGTCATGTAGTGGAAGAAGCACAAAGAAGAGGCGGAGAGATTGAGCTAGGCTGTGGAAAAATGGTTGACCGAAGTCAACGAAAAGCTTACTGATCAAGCTCAACAAGAGGATCAAAACGAAGCCAAGAACAAGTGTTTATTTGGGTTGTGCCCTAATTTAAAGACTCGTTATCAGCTGAGTAAAAGAGCTGAGAAGGAGAGCAAGGCCATTGTTGAACTCCTCAATGAAGCTGACAAATTCAGCTCAGATTCGGTTTTTTATCGTCCAGCTCCCCAGGAGATAATGACCGCATATGTTAGAGATGTTTCGAGGTCTTTGAATCAAGGAGGCTTGTATTCGACGGGGTGTTGGAGGTATTAAACGAGGCTAGTGTAAACATTATAAGGGTGTATGGAATGGGCGGTGTAGGAAAGACTACTCTAGCAAGACAGGTTGCTGGGCAAGCTAAGGGTACAAAGTTGTTTGATACTGTGGTTATGGAAACTGTAAAACAAAATGCAGAGATATCAGAAATTCAACAAGAGATTGGAGATGGTTTAGGCCTGGAATTTCGTGAAAAGACTATCCTTGTTAGAGCGGATCGGCTGCGTGAAAGGCTGAAGAAAGAGGAAAGGGTTCTTGTTATTTTGGATGATGTTTGGGAAAGCCTGGATTTGGAAGCTGTTGGAATTCCTTGTGTAGGTGATGATTTGAGCTGCAAGGTTCTGTTGACTTCTAGAGATCTCAATGTTTTATCCATGATGGATTCTAAGAGAAATTTTGCTGTTGGTGTTTTAGAAGAAGAGGAAGCTTGGAACCTGTTTAATAAGATGGCCGGTGATCGTGCTGTTGAAAGTCCTGATTTGTATTCTACAGCAACTGAAATTGCTAAGAAGTGTGCAGGACTATCAATTGCCATGGTTACAGTTGCTAGGGCTTTGAGAAATAAAAATCCATTTCAATGAAGTAACTGACTGTGAGAACATCATAGAGATTATTGCCCAGGAAAGAGAGGCAAACATTGAAGAAAATGAAGCAATCAATGAAATAGAGTTCTGTCAGCTACGGTCCTTGAAACTTGGACGTCTGTCGAATTTCCTTCACTTCTGCTCGAGAAAGGAAACTCCTTTAGCATCTGAACATGGAAGAACTCAATCGAGTATTCAGACAAGGTCCAAGAAGACACTACAGGAAAATGGCGTATTAGTGGCAGTTTTGTAGCGGTCGTTCACTTACAAACGCCGTTAGTTTTGTGTTTTTATAAAACTTCAGGCGTTTATTATCAAAATGTCACTAAATTTTTAAATAGCGGTATTGATACTTATAAACGCCACCCAAAATTAGATATCAGCGGCGTTTTTGGATAACAATGCCTTGAATAATTTTTATTAAAAATTTTAATGAATAGTAAAGGCGTATTTTTAGCAGACAACGTCTTCAATAATCACGTCATAAAAAATTGTATGAGCTTATTGAAAGCATTTTTCACAAGAAACGCCTTTAATAATTTGATCAAAAAATTTCACAGGCTTATAAAAATGTTTGGGTCATACGGATGTTTACCATCAGGTTATAGGTTCGATCCCTCTCTTTAGCTTTTTTTTGGTTTTTTGCACATATTATTTGTAATTGATTATTTTAGGCATTTTCTTGGCAAAAACACCTTCACCGATTGCTTTAAAAAATTTTCAGAGAATATTGAAGTCGTTTTTCTTAGAGAGACGTCCTTAATAATTCATAGACGTTTTTGGCCTATGGATTCTTAAAGACATTTTTCGTCGAACTCGCATTCTATAATCCAATAAGTAAGTTTTTGTTGTGATTATTAAAGGCGATTTTTGTCAAAAACGCTTTCAATAAATCAGGGACAAAAGTTGGAAGGGATGCTTGAAGGTATTTTTTTGCTTAAAACGCTTTTAATATTTCCAATGATAAATTTTAATGGGCGGATTATTGAAGGTAGTTATATCCAAAAAAAGCCTTCAAAAATATTTTAGTTGGTATTATTGAAGGTAATTTTGGTAAAAAAAAATGCCTTTAATATTTTCTGTTAAGGATGATTAAAGTCATTTTCTTGCTAAAAATACTTTCATTAATCCCATCAAAATAACATATTTGATATTGTATATGTGTAGTCATTTGTAAGTTTATGCCCAAAAAAATATTTGCTGTCAATTGTATATTTATGCCCAGAAAAAATTTAGTTTATATATATGATACTATGAATTACATTTTGAAATTTACATAATGAACATTGTTGTATTTCAATATATTGACCACACATCCAAAATTAAAACTAATAACGTTGTCATATTAATATACTTTTATGAAATAATCGTACTTAATAATTTATTAAGTACACATAGTGTATTCATATTAAGTATAACAATAATATTAAACCAATACCCCAATGTACAAACTTAAAGTTTCATTCAACATGGCATGTTAAAAACATTATAACAATTTGTTCCATATATATTTACATTTATCCAACAATGTCTAACCTGAAGTTTTATCAACATTGATAAATGATAATACATAATCACACCATTTTTTACGGACTTCATCTAGTTCCTCTTCCGAAAAGCTTTCTTTACCCTCCATTAAAATAATTATCAAAAGTAAATGTTAAGAAATGAGAATATATACCTTTTTATTTTTTTCAAGATATAAGGAGTTTATGAAATTTATACTAACCTTGAATGGTGTGATCATAAAATCATGTAACACTATCTCCCGCATAAAACAAAGGATATAATATCCACATTCAGTATTATCGGGTTGACGAGGTACCTGAAAATTAAATTGAGTGGGTTTAGAAAATATTTATCTATACAAACTCAGCATAAAAACAATATATTTCACATTTACTAGTAATGACACATATTTTGATTTATTTATCTTCTTATCGAATACAGATGTTACCCTAAATTGAAAAGAAAAAATTACTTAATATATAAATAAAATTACTTATGAAGAAACAGAATATATATAAAATAATAATGTGTAATACCTCTTTATAAAAGTTTGAATATCGGGTTAGGCATCATCATTGGATTAACTGAATTAAGTAAGTATAGCGTTAACAATTTGGTGTCAATCACAATTAGCACCCAATGACGACTGTAAAATAATAACAATGATATACTCAGATTACATATCTGATCAGATTTGGGTAAAGTTGGAGTAATTAAGGTTAGAGTATAGCTTATTGCGCATTATACGAGAGCAAATAATAATCATCCAATCTTTTCATGCATAGGATTACATGATTAGCATGATAAATGACTGTGTCACTCTACTCACTAATGAAGTTAGAGTCAATGAATCTAACTCTGTTAGTCAACTATCTCCCCTTAAGCTCTCTATATAGGAAGCTGCACGATAACAATCAATACTGCTAGTTAGTATTACACCATAATATAGATTACTATATATTGAATGTGCATATTTGTATTTATAAGCTAACCTCATAAAAGCAACAATATCAACGGCTGATAATTCATCCAGTTCACAAAATTCTTTAACCTTCTCCATACCAATGAAAAAAAATGATGGTTTATCAAATAACCCTTCATCAGACTCAATGGTTATGAAGTTTTCTCTGGATAAATGCTCCAGCGAATATTTGGATAACTCATCCATGAAAGCCTGAGCAAGGGTCATACTGTGAGTCTGAACATCCTGTTACAATATTTAATGAAATATAAATATTACAACCAAATCAATTAATATAATAAACAAATTAATATTCAAATTATAAACAATATCAAACTTCTTGGGTGGTAGCAAAGGATGGGATTACTTTTTTACTTCCAACGGAAGCTTCTCGTATGGGGACGATGCTATCAGGTCAGGCTACTGGTATAACTTGTTGCATTGCTACCAACATAGACTCCAAAACAGCGAATCTTTGCTGTTGGTCATTGAGGCGTTGCTCCTGGTCATTAATATGTTGCTATTATTGCTCAATTATTGCTTCATATTGTGCATTTCTCATTCATAGGGTTTTTGGTTGTTTACCAAAAAATATTGATGGTAAGACAAATTTACCAACCCTACAAATCCGATCAGGCCTTTCTTTAGCACCTAATGCTAAAGACAAAAGATTTTCACCATATTTGGTTGTCAGTTCACCAGATTTGACTTTGACAACATAATCATCTTGAAAGACAATAATCAGTTGGGCTATAACAATAAATCTATACAAGTTAGTATACACTCATGGATACAACCACAATGTCAATCATACATTATATCAAAAAACAATTATACATACAATCTTTTTTGTCATTTTCTCAATTACTTCATCTACGAAGGATCTATCTTTCCGTAAATGTCCTTGTTTCCAGACATCCTATCCGAAAACTTTTATGCTAGAGCTCACGATTCCTATTAAATTATCGCAATAAAAGAATCAGAATGTATGAAATAAATGTTCATAAATATTCATTAATGAGTATAAAATAAGTGTGCGAATACATACAAGCTGATACTTCACATTTGCATATCCCTTTCTTGCTGTTTGATGGTGATAATGTTGTTTGGCCCGAATGTCCCGTTATTGTTCTTTAATTTTTTACAAAATCAAGAAATTACGTCAATCACATGTGACGATCAAATGTTATATTGTATAAAGACTTATAAATAATTTTTAATAAAAATGAGTTTACGTACTGAGAAATCTTTTGAAAGTCGATATTGAACAAAATTTATCCAGTCTTCAACATTTATGATATTTGCATATACTGCAAGTGGAATGGTCAATACATCACCTTCACCAGCCAACGATAAAATATATTAGGTTGTCAGTCTGCTTTTAAAGTCTCTAGATGCTTTTCTAACAGATTGTAACATAATTTTTTACAATCAATTAAGACGTCAAACCACTCCTAAATAAGTTAATACAATTAGTATGAACACATTGAATTTTAATTAATTGATCATTTAACAAATTTTACGAAATAGTTGAATAAACATACCACAACTGACTACCATATATCATCTTTGAGATCGTTAGGAACTTGTCATCAATCGATGCACGTAATTGAAATTGTACGACGGACGATGGCTCCAATATGAGTAGCCATCTTGACAACTCCTTCAGACACAGGCTGCCCACTTTGATTGAAGTCAACATGTATTTTTGTGTCGGTCATTTTGATTTGTTTGTTTGAACCCCTTCCATTTCTTTTTTGGCCTACCCTTCTATTTTATACATGTTCATTAGTAGGAGAATGATGTTGTTCGGAGTCTATAATACATGCAATCTTCATCGTAATTATACGAATTACACAATATGACCATCTAAATTAAACACTGTACATAATTTAATACAACCACTACCATACTTCATATAGAAATACCATTCAGCACACAATTCAACACACTATTTAGCAATATGCTAAGACACACCTTTCAGTAAACCACTCAGAAACACCATTCAGCATATGATTCAATCTCCTTATTTCATACAAATCCATTCAGCAAAATGATATCAAACAACAAGATTGAGCATACTATTCAGCATATATATGATTCAGATCCCCAATACCATACAATATCATTCGGCATTACAATATCAGACTACAAGATTCAACAAATCACAATATTTAATGCATAGTACATAAAAATAGTATACTACATAGAAATAACATACTTACAATATAAATAGAATCTTGGACGACTATACTTACGATGATGTTAATGAAAATATATACACGCATATGTTAATATTAAGAAAATGAAAAAATAAAAAATCTCTATCCAATATTGTAAATAATACAGTAAACTGAAAAAAAAAAAGACTTTAAAAACAGAGGTGTGCAGTGTTGATTTGTTAAAGGTTGATGACAACGATAGAGATAAAGATACCAGTGGTGTGATAGAAATGTGGTTTGGTTGAATAACGCAGCTTTTAATCGTTTTGTGTTCCAGCAGTCTGTGGATTTCGATGTTTAAAGTAAGGGAATAAATATAAAATTAATTATTAAAGGCATTTCCATGGAACAACACCTTTAATAATCCCCTAAAAATTTTATTGGAGATTATTAAAGGTATTTTTTACAAAAAAAAAAAAACACCTTTAATTTAGGAAAAAAAATATTTCGACTAACTTATTAAAGGAGTTTATCATTAAAAAACACTTTTTATAATTCATAAAAATTGTAAAAGGCATTATGAGTAGAAAATCGCGTTCAATAATGATGGATTTTAACTGTTTATAATAAATTATTGAAAGCATTTTATAATAAAAGACGCTTTTAATGATCTTAAAAATATTTTTTAAAAAAATATTAAAGGGCTGTTATATGCAAACACCTTCACTATTTATTTACAAAATCTAATAGGAATTATTAAAGGCATT